CTAAGCCTCAAGTTACTCACGAGTAAACATGGGGAGTAATGACACTGCCCCTTATTGCATCATCTTGAGGATGAAATGAAGTAGCATGTAAAGAGCTCAGCCTGGTGACTGGTACAGACTAATGCTGACACATGGGAATGAATATGGGTTTTATACTCATTTTTGGTACTTTCTTTTACCCATGCTCACTTTACCCTCAAGACATCCCTCTAGGAGAGGAAGGAGAGATTCTTTTCTCCCCAGCACCTCTTCGTACAGGTTAACTGCGCATCACAGCTGGCAAGTGGCAGCAGGGGGACCTGACCACACAGAGGCTTTAGTGACCCTAAGGCCATGTTCTTTCTCCTATATTTACACCTCCAGGACTAAACAAACCTGAAATCGTCCTTGTTATCGAGAGGGGAGGGGGAAATAAAAAAGAAAAACTTGGAAAATGAATAGAGTCATGACAAGGGGGACGTTGTAGTGATGCTTTTGTTAGACAAATTAAATAAAAACACACACAAATGAAGCAGAGATGAAAGAAAGGAAGCTCCATGCAGCCCCAAAAGGACCAAACAATAACAATCAGCCTGCTGTCCACAGAGAAGGACAAACCTGTAGTTAGAAGCTCCCTTGGAAGTTAAGGCCAGGAGACTGGTGTAGGGAAATGAACACTTTCAGCTTATCCCAGATCGGGTGCAAAAAGAAAGACAGGGAGAGAGAAGGGAAGAGGGCTATGGGGCCAAGGGTCGGATCAGAGTCTGCAAAGACTGTGCAGTGCTCATGAAAATGGTTCTAAAGATGAACATGGTTTGCTAAGATCATAACCTTTTCATTCTTATAACCACAAGTCAGGGAGCCAGTGTGTTCCAGAGGACTGTTCATGAAGCCAGGATACAGTCGGATGAGAGGAGGGAAGGTGCCCATTTGCTGCAGATCTTCCTTCTCCCTTGCTTCCCGAGCCGCTGTAAATCTGAAGGAGGCTCTGCTGAGACCCGCTGAGGAGACAAGCCATTTTCATCTGAAGCAGCCTCCTGAAGTGATACCGAAGCCAGGAGTCAACCCACCTACCAGCTGCCCCGCTCCCTGTGCCTTGCACGGTCTGGCTGGTCCGCCTTCTCTGCAAAACCCCTCCCAGGCACCAGCCACTCTCTGGATGGGTGGGAAACCAGAAAGCTCTCTGGGCATCAGTTTCTCCAACTTCTGTTGTTGGTGCGTGTGGCAGGGGCCTGGGAGTTTACGGGATGAGAAGAAAGCTTGAATCAGGAGGCGCAGCTGGTTCACAGTCTTGTGGGGTTGGGGCATGATGGACATGGAGGAGACTGGGACCTGGACCTGCCTCCTTCCTCATCCCCTGCACCACAATTATAGAGTTCAATCTCAGAAGTACAGAATGCAGAGAAACTGGCCCTTCTCACAGTCCTTGAGCTTCCCAAGTATAGACAGTCACCCCACTAATTGAAGAAGCTGGACCTAAGAAGCAGGCAGCATGGGTCCTGCACCAACTGGAGGAATCAGGTCCCCAGGGACGGCTGTGCTATCAGCAACATCACTGGGGCTCTGGCATATCTGGGACTTGCTTTGCCTCTGATAGTAACTGATAGTAACTTTCTGCTGCTTTCTCATTGGTGATGTTCTTCATCACCCAGCAAAACCTCCTAATTTCCCAAGTCAGCTGTCTGCTTGCACTGGGAGAGGCAGGGAGGAAATCTGTGCCCTGACTGCATGCTCTGCAGAGACAGAGACAGGAGCCAGGTCTGTCCACCCCAGACCTCAGTGCCTCAGACGTCTGCCGCCCTCTGTAACTCTCTGTTGATCGGTCTCTGGGGAAAATCTGGTGGGTATTTTGCTCTTCAGTGGAGAAGGGGTGGCTGCCAAGGCAGCTGGGCATGGGAAGGAAAGAATGCTGTGAAAATCTGAGAAACAAGAGAGGAAGCTGGGCCTCTTACACTGGAAGGAAGTAAGGATGGGAAGGAGTAGAAGGGAAGAGTGAGAAGTGGGCACCATGGAGAGGGGATGGGAGATGGCATTCCTGCCTTGAAGGGTATGAGAGACTTCGAGTAGATTCACAGAGGGGACCAATTAAGGCCTGGGATGGTGCCAGTGGTGAGTGTAATGAGGGGTCCCAGGGCTAGGTGCTTGCCTGGGACAGGCAGCAGAAGGAGCATTTAGAATTCTGTTTCATTTGCTCTCCATTCCGTCTTCCAGCAACACTGGCATGTCCTGACTTCACCCACTGGGAGTAGCGCTTGTCCATGGGTTAGGGATGTTTCGGTTGGTGCCTTTCTTTTCAAACCAGCTGCTGAAGAAAAGGTGCAGGGCTCAACCCACGTATTTGAGAATGGCATTTGCTTGTGGAGAAGGAACCTTCTGCTCCTTGAAACTGCAAAACCTACTTTGAGGTGTGCCCTCATGGGGTGCACAGTTTTGTATTCAGTAAGTTCAACTAGGAAGCAAAAGCCATCACGCTGTTTGGATTTATTGGTAATTTCATTTTTAAGCCAACATTTGTAAAGTGCTGTGTAATTTTAAACAATCTGATACATGATCCACTCGGTTCTTGAAATAACTTTACTAGTTCTATTTTATTAGGTAAAATGGAGGTCTTAAAAAAGATTCAGACAAGGTCACACAGCTAACAAGTGTCCATCCAACTTCTTGATTTCACTGTTCTGTTTTGCTTATTTCCTCACATGTAATCTTTTTTTCCCATCACGATACCCATCAAGGACATTACAAGGCTATAGCTTAGAGCCCTTGGATAAATGTCAGGGTATCAAGGAATCTCCCAAAATTATTTGCAGATTTTGCAAAAGAGTGCACATTGGCTCTTTTTCTGGGGAGGAGGGGTCCATCCATAGTTTGAGCAGATTCATGAAAGTGTTCATGACACACAAAATATTAAATAGCACATCATAAAAAGAAAAGCTATATTGCTGAACACTTCTTTTCATCCAATACCTAACCCCCCCATACACTCCAGTGCAAGTATGACAGCCTCCAAACTAAGCCATTTTTAATTATTCCAAATATTTGGCACAGGGCTGCATAAAACATTCAGACTGATTGAATCTTCACTTTTATTGGAATGTTTTGGCTCTGTGTAAATGCAACCTATCTCTCTCTTGTTCTGATTGCTCCCCCCGTGTCTTTTTCTTCCTATTTCCATCCACAATGAGGAGGGGAGATGGCAGACAGGCAGGAGATGATGATTCTAGTCCTCTTTAGAATGCTGTCCTTCAGCCTCTTTAACAGACACTCTTGGTTTCCCACCCAGAATCCCTGTTTGTTTGTTTCTCCTCAGTGTGGTCATGAACTTTCCTGAACTTGGCCGTATTCCCAGGCCTAGCACATCAATCTTGATAATCTCACCAATCATGGTAATTTTATTCTCCTTGCTAAGAATTGGCTTAAGAAGAAACATGTAACCCAATTCTGGTTAATGAGATTGGAGGGTAACTCTTCAGGGAAAGATTTTAGCTTTTTAAAGAACTACAAAGAGTATAGAGGTCTCTCTTCTACCTCTGAACATGGTTGCACACAGATATGATCCTTGGAGCTGTGGCAGCCATCTTGTGCCATGAGGAGAAATGACTGACAGAGTGAAGATGGATGAGCAGAAAGTACAGAAAGACCCCAGGTCTCTGATGAGATTGTTGAAATATTAAGTTAACCAACCAAGGAACTGCCTTCCTTCTAAACTCTGTGTTATGGGAGATAGCAAATGATCTCATTGGTTAAGCCATTTTGAATCAAGTTGACAGTGACTTGTTGGCAAAATCATCCTAATTAACATAAGTACCTTGCTATGGAACTACCTTCTATGGAATGCAAATGAGATCATTTGCTCTTTTTGAGAGAGACTCATAGAGAATACAGAGCCAGTGTAACTGGGTGAATAACCAAAATAGGAGAGTTTAGGTAAGATCTTATGAATTAACCTATATAACCCCGAATTCCAAATTTTAGGAGATTTTTGAAATAATTAAGGTGAGTTTTAGACTCTGACAAATGGACCCCTATAGTTATGTGGGGATGCTTTAGAAACCTACAGACAGTTGACTCAAATTCATTTAGAATTGTGTTCTACAATTTAAAAATTCTTCAATTACAAAAAAAAATGCAGGTAAATATTTCACACACCAAATGTTTTTATACGGGAGACAACCAAGATATTAAATTGTGCTTCCAGCTTTGCAAGCTTCTGTGCATACAGCTCCTGGCATAAATATTTTGTAAACGTTCATTGATTCAGAATGTGCAGCTCTGTACTGGTTCTTTCTATACTACTATTATTACCTAAACGCCGGCCTTCCTAAGTCTGCTTGCATAAAATCATACATGTGAGTGTCAAGTAGAGCACGCATGGGCCCTGTGAAATCAAGTGTCAGGTGAAATATACTTTTGCTCGGCCCCGTATGGTGGTGGTACAATAATAAGTTTTAAACAATCGGGCAAGTGTTGTGATGCAAAGACTGTGTCACATTATGTATAGTTTCAGCACCTACTGTACAGTCTGAAGGCTTTTCTCTTCCTTTTATAGACAACAAGCTCACCTTGGCAAGGTGAAGCTTCTAGGTTAATCCTAGATACCTGGTCAGGACAGACATTCGACCTAAAATATATATTCAGTGTTCCAAGCCAAATAAATTTGTCTATTTTAAAATGTTGAGTAAATAGCTGACAGAGACAGGCAATGGAGAACCTGGGACATCACTGACATTTTGTAATTGCTAGTAAGTTGTTATGATGTATCCAGCACCGTTCTAAGGCCCCACCTGTACTGACTGATGTAAACCACCCAACAACCTTATAACATCGGTACTATTTATGTCCCGCATTTATAGATGAAGAACCAAGACCACGGAACTGGGCCAGCAAGTGGTAGCTCAGCATTTGAACCGACAAAGTTTGCCTCCAGAATCTGGACTCTTACTGCATTGTATTTCCCTTTGAACAATGAAGATTTTCTGGACAGACTGGATGTTTCCCAGTTAAGGAAGGAGAGCAGGTCTTACCTGCTGTTATTGCTCCACTTTGAAGGGAGATTGTCCTCACAGCCTTCTTTCACACTTCTGGACCTGAAATTGCAGGGTGAAAAACTTACATATTTGCAACCACTTATTTGTATGAATTAAGATTCTCTCAATACTGTGCAACTAACACAAAATTTAAAAAGACATTGAATGAGCATCATTCACGGTTGCCAAGATATAGAAGCAACCTAAGTGTCCACTGACAGTTGAATGAGTAAAGGCAATGTGGTGTATGTATACAATGGAATAATACTCAGCCATTAAAAAAGAATAAAATTGTTTACAATTGGTTGTCTACATTTGCAATAACATGGATGAACTGGAAGGGTATTATGCTTAATGAAATAAGGCAGAGAAAGACGAATACTATATGATATCACTTACATGTGGAATCTAAAAAGTAAAATAAACTAGTGAGTATAACCAAAAAAATAAGCAGACTCACAGATAAAGAGAATGAACTAGTGGTTACCAGTGGGGAAAGGAAAGGGGGCAGAGACGAGATAGGGGTAGCAGATTAAGAGGTACAAATCACTACATATAAAATAAAAAAGCTACAAGGATATAATGCACAGCACAGGGAACAGAGCCAATATTTTATAACTATAAATGGAGTATAACCTTTAAAAATGGTAAATCACCATACTGTATACCTGTAACTTATATAATATTGTATATCAACCATACTCAGTAAAAAAAATGCACTGAATGGTGAGGCTGATATAAGACTGCAACTGCCACTGGTTTCCCTTGTTTTCAAATTTTATGTATTCATTGGACAAACTTCTTCTTATCTATTAGTGACAAGTAAATGTTACAAAACTCAACTTCTAAAGTGGATTTATGGTAATGTCCACCTCTGTCCTATTTAATAGACGTGGACCTGTCCTTCCTGTTTTGGGCAATGACCTTTGAAAGGTTCCACAGCTAGTTGAGAGCAAATATTAGAAAACCACTTAGGAGCAAGGAATAGAAACTCACTGGCTTAAACAAAGAGGGGTTTGTTTTTCCCACACAACAAGAAGTCAGGAGGTAGGTGGTGCTGGGGATGGTCTGGCGGCTCAGCAACACGAGGGCCAGCACCTCTGTGACTCTCTTGGCCTTTCCATTACGGGCACAGAAAGACTGACATAGGTGCAGCCAACACATCCACCCTCCAGACGGGAAGAGGGGCCAGGGCAGCACCTGCGTCCTCTTTCCCTTCCATCAGGAAAGCAAAATGTTCACAGAAAATCCCTGCAGGCTTCTGCTTACGTCTCATGAGCCAGAACTGTCACCTGGTTACTTCCAGTGCAGGGAAGCTGGAAAAGTACTTAGCTTCCGTGGGCTTTCTAAACAAGGTGGGAAGAGAAATGAGGTTCGGAAGGGACGCTGAATCAGCAAATGTACAGCAGCTGCCACAAAGAAAATCAAAGACCTTCCAGGTTACCTTGGGCAAATGGTCCTTTAGGGGACCCTACAGTACTGGCTTTGAGGGATTTAATAAGTAGGACACCCAGGCACCCATTTTAATACATTTGATTAATTGCTTATTATGCATCTAACACTGTACTGGGAGCTGGGGAGTCTCAGAGGTTTGGCTGTAGAGGCTTCCTCCATCTGAAGAAGGAGATGAGCTCGCTAACCAATTTTTCACAGTGCTAAGTAATCATGGGAAATTCTCAATCTCCATTTTTATATGAACAAAAGGATTAGATCCTTAAGGACATTTCAAAATCTACAGTTCTCTTATTTTGTATAAATAATCACTTATTAAGATATTCTCTGTCCCTGCCTCGGTGTCACTGTCAATGTTACCGTCAACAACATGTAACAATCCATATTCTTCCAGCAGCTTAAGTGTCTCAGCATTAATTTGAGATGATGGGAGCAACCAGAATGTTACACGGGAATCATATTTTCATGGGAAGCAGTGCTATATGCTTCAGAAGCAAAGACAGATGGCAGAAACTTAAAAAAGAAAGGAAAAAGTCAACATTAACAGAAAATAAGAATTTAGAATATGAAGCTAGTATCAATAAGCAATTAACAAAAATGAATTTCTGTCCTTCTAAGATTCTATCACGGGTTAGTCCCCCTTTCAGGAACAAGTGGTAAACCTGTTTCTGAAGGTGGCTGCTCTTTGTACAACCTCAGGTGCTTTCCCTGAGCGACCACCTAGACCCAGTCCTTCATACAGTCAATAAGTCTTCAGTGAACACCTATTATGTTCCAAACATTGCAGTAGGTCCTCGGGACATTAACATGCAATAAGTCTTAGTCCCTTACCTTGGGATGCTTACATCTACTGGAAGAGATGGATACTTTGACTAAAATCTGAAATTCACTGGGACAAGCTGCCATAACAGAACTGGCAACCAAGTGCAGGGGAAGTCCTGCAGCGATCAGGGTCAATCATGCCTGATGCAGGTATGGGGCAGGGAGGGAGAGGGTGGTGGAGGAATGGGACGAGTCTTCACAGGCAAAGGAAAGGTCACTTTTGAGTGGCGGGACAAGTGCAAAGGCATGGAAATACGTTTGGAAATTTGCATGTCATTTTGTGCACCTCCTGGAATACAGAGTACACAGAGAGGAGGAGGAATGGTGAGTGAAGCATTCAGAGAGTTTAGGTCATTTTGAAAGTGTTTTGGATACCTTACACACAAAATAATAGGTTAGCAAATTAAAGCTGGATATTGGTTTTTCTTGGTTTCTTTTTGCAGCCAGCTTTTATTTCTACCATCTTTGCCCATTACTCCAGAGGCTGGAAGCCTGGGAACTACTCGCCCCATGCTCCTTTATCTCCAGGGCTTTGAACTCCATTAACATTCAGCCAATGAGATGCACTTGTTTACACTTAGGGATGGAAGGGAGTCAGAAGCAAGCTGTGTTATTCTGTCTCTGGCAGTGGCTTGTGTGTGTTTAGGCTTTGGTCCAAACAAGGATTTACAAAGTTCTCAAAGCACCCTGTCAACCACCCCCTTCACTGCCATAGGACAGCTGTGATCATCAGTGGTGGCTTCCTGCAGTTTCCTGACCTGGATGGCAACAACAACTTTCTAGTTTGTAGGACCACAGTTGCCATGGTGAACCTAAAAGCTAGCAGCAGCTCTCACTACTCTCACTTCCCCAATAGTTTTGTAAGCATCTACTCCCCTCTATTAAATCTCTCTGCTTGAAATACCTAGAGCAATTTCTCTTTTCCTGACTGAACACTGACTGATACCATATCAACATAAATGAAGGTAAAGGACAAAACCATCCTTATTTACAGTTAATATAATTCTTTACATAGAAAATCTACAATTAATATTTTAGAACTGAAAAGAACATTCACCAGGTTTGCTGGGTATGAAGATTAACATGTAAAAAAATCCACTGCACATGCTGCAAACCTGGAATGTCATCCTTGATTCTTTCCTCTCCATATCTCCCGCATCAAATCAATCATCAAATCTTGTTGATTACACCTACTCAATATTTCTAAAATGTATCAACACCTCCTGCCCCCTGCCACCAACCACCCCATCCAACATTTTCCTCCTAGATTACTTAGTCCATTTGGGATGCTATTTAAAAAATGCCATAGACCAGGTGGCTCATAAACAAGAGAAATGTTTTTCTCCCACTTCTAAAGGCTGGGGAGTTTCAGATCAAGGTGCTGGCAGATTGCACGTCTGCTGAAAGACTATCTCCTGGCTCACAGACAGTTGTCTTTTCACTGAGTCCTGACATGGCTGATGGAAATACAGAGCTCTCTGAGGCCTTTTTTATAAGGGCACTAATTTTATTCATGATCTAATCATCTCCCCACCTCCAAGTACCCTCACATTGGGAATGGGTTTCAACACAAGAATTTGTGGGGGATACAAACATTCTATCTATAGTAATTACCATAGCAACCTCCTAAATGGTCTTCTGAACACAGTTTTACCTTCTTGCATTCCTCACAGCAGAGCTCGAATGGTCCTTCTAAAACATAAATTCAATCCAGGCACTCTCCTGCTTCAAAGGCTCCTCACTGCTCTTCGGAATAATTCCAAACTCCTAAACACAGTTTACAATGTCCTTCACAATCTGCCCCCATCTACTTCTCTCACTTTCTTTCTTTCTGAACCACATTTGCCTCTTGAGAGCTCCAACCATACTATACCTTGTTCACATTCTCAAATAAGCCTTTTCATGAGCAGACGGCTTCAACTAGGAGATGGCAGCCTCCTCCAAAGCCTCCCTGGCCCCTTTAGCTCCTAATCAACCTTCAGGCTTGGGATTGGGCCTCACTTTCTCT